TTGGTTGATATTCCCAGCTGATATACTTTTTTATAATATATACCTGTGGTTTTTTCCCCCCTCTTTTTTCTACCATTTTGTTTTTCCTTTTTTTTCCTGCCTTGTTTTTTGTTCTTTTTGTCTTCTCTCTGTTTTGATATTCCGCCCCCCCCCCCTCCCACTGGTGTGGGCATGTGTTGTTTAAGTAACAAAATAATAAAAAAATATTTTTTAATTTAAAAAAAAACAATAACAAAGAAATGTTAATGGACAATATTTAACGATACAAGCAGGTGTGTTTTACTAGCAAAAATAAAATGGTACAGAAGCGTGTGTAAAGGTACGGCAGATTTATCGAGACTGGAAAAAAGAAATAATGCCAGTAGGTGTCCCTAAAATCTTATTCAATGAAAATGGTGGTATAGGTGATAGCAAAATATATAAATTCTAAAATGTACAATTTAAACTGAATGAAATATATGGGATTGTGGAAGAAACGCACAAAATGTACCTGTATAATCAATGGATACGCTTTCTGCAAGATGTAATGAAAGATTATCTTTGTGTGTGTGTGTGTTCTTCATTAATAAACACAATAAAAAACTTTTTTTTAAAAAAAAGAAGAATTGGTTGATATTCAACCGGTAGAACAGCTTGCAAAGAAACTCTACGAGTTGGGTGACAGGCTGTTGCTTCGAAGGGTGAGGAGGAGGCCAGCCCCATTTGGGAAAATCCCCCCTTCCCCCCCCCTCCAAGATCTCGTTTCTAAAATGCACTTTGCACATGCTCGTGGGAGCTCTGCTTGGGAAGAAGAGAATGCATTCGGGCGAGTTTACAGAAAGAGGCCTGCTGCATTTTGGTTTAACACGTGCTGTTTTAAGAGTGGCTGCCTAAAACGACGCCAACCTTTTCCCCCAATCGGATGCCCTGGCTGGACTACAACACCCCTCATTCCCAGCCTGCACTGGCAGAGCAGTGGGGGGGGGGTCGGGGAACCTTCCGTTTGCACAGAGAAAGGTGCGGTATGCCCACCCACCCTTCCTTAAAAAGGTTGGCTCTCTCGCCACTTCTGGTAATTTTGGAAGGAATTTTTGCCATCGATCGATTGGAAAGGGCACCACCCAGCGATTTACGTCGTCCCGACAACTGTGCGACGCCCTAGAAGCGGCACCAGTGGGGCCAGAGCTTCAGATCTTGAGGAATGGCGCATCGAAAGGTTGCTTACGCGTCCCCGTGTAATTCCTCTTCTCTCCCGTGCTGGATTGGCTCGAGTGCGAGGAGTCGTAGTTGGAGAAGATGCTGCTCGGGGACCCCATGTCGAAATGAGTCTGGGGGGCCGAGGCGGTGGTGTGGGGAGAGGAGAGGCCGGAATCCGGTTGTTTGAGTTCCATGTCGGCCGAGGGATCTCGGGAGAGCACCCGATGTTCCACGCTCTACGGGGGG